AAAAAAAAACATCGATCCACAAGGAAAAAAACACAATCAAATTTATATAACTAATTTCATAATTTTGTATGTTGTAACGCAACGAATATAAGATTCGTAATTAATTACCTTGATAATGTGGACACGATGGTTGTGTTCTTGAACTCGTGAGAATAGTCTTTCGCTCGCGTAAAACACCATTGGCACGGCCACGTACATCCATGTCTGCATTTTTCCACACATCAAAAATATTAGTTAAGAAAATAAAGAAACTATAAGATATGAAAACAAATGCTTAATTTGTATTTATATGTTAACTTACCGTCTTTTGGTACCAAGGCTTCTCGATGATAAGAATGTAACCATGGATAATGAGAAGAGCATAGGCAATAACCAGCAAATGATGCGCATACCAAAACGCATTAAACCCAGCAAGAACGTTAAACGGCTTAGGCAATTTCACTATGTTCCTTCTGAAGTAATGCATGGCGAGCGTGAATGCTATCCCCATGAAGAAGATCATCAGAACTCCTGTGACCGAAACCGGGGTTAGCATTAAACCTAAATAGGTCGGTTGCTTGGGCCCCAAGAGTTTTGCCGCGTACGCGGAGAACAAGTCATGAGGGCAAGAGCTTAGCCTAGGGTAGTTGCATAGCATGTGTAGTGCCGTGTGGAGGAAGGAAATGACAGCGATCCAAACCGCTATCAACTTGTGGAAGTTGATGTTGTCGTCGAAAGGGATCAAGTGGCTCAAGAAAGAGGATCTCAGGAACGTTAGGGTTCTTCTCAAAACGGGGACCAAGATCAAAGCCATGTTGAATTTGAGCATTTCTGCGGTTCCTTTGGCGGCGCAAACGCAGCGTCCGGTGACGTTGTAAAGAGGGCTTGTGGTGAACTCTTTGTATTTCCATATGAAGAGGCAAACGTTGACTGCGAGCCACAACGTGATGACCCAAATCTTCTTCCAGTGCTCGTGCATTAGCTCCGCGGTTACTGAAACGTATTTGCTAGTCGGCGTTCTGTAACGTTCTGGGATCATGGCTCGCGTTAGCGATTGTGATTTCCTCACTATCTTGGTTGAGTCAGCGTTTGTCACCATCCCGGTTAATAGCACCTCGAGTTGCCACATCTGGTCGATGTAAGCTAAAGAAATGTTAGCACGGACAAGGCATGCAATGTAGTATAAATCTGTTTAAAATTAAAATCTGTTTTATTTGATTCTATAAACTTAAAATTAATATATTTATGTTATCTTCATGATTTTAATGTAATATTTTTAGCTATATAATTTTGATTGCTGAGAATGAAACCAAAAACAAAAACTTATAAAAACTCATATAGCAAATGTGTTTTAAAGTTTGCATATAGCAAATGTGTTTTTAAAGTTTGTTAATTAAAATACATAACGCAGAAGTCAGGATGGCCGATTGGTCTAAGGCGCCAGACTTAAGTTCTGGTCCTCGTAACGAGGGCGTGGGTTCAAACCCCACTTCTAACAATTTACTAGTTTTGTTTTTTTTTGTCAGCCAATTTTCCGGGTAACAGCTTTTAATCAGGTTTCATAACCTTCTATTTATTGTTATTTTTGTCATATGACTAAGAACTTCTGGTTGATTGATCAAACCCTAGCTTTGAAACGATGAACCAATAATCTCATTAGCTAGCTGATTGTTGTTTATTTTCTTTTTTGGACCTACAACTTTCAATATTTTAATGATCACACTATTTCATAGAGTATCGAAATGGCATTAAGAAGAAACCTCAATGTAACCGTGGTGATCGGGGTCAAGTTCTTCCATGATCAAAGAAGCATAAGCCGCAGCGTTCTTCTTGAGATTCCCGAGCTTGTTCGCCGATGCACTCAAGACTATGACCTCTTTAACCTCCTCTTCTGTTAGCTTACCATCTCCATCCTTGTCACACCTAAATCGCAATTGTTAAATCTCATTTTTTTTTTTCAAATAAAAAAAAACACAAGAAGAAAAAAAGAAAAAATGATTACATGTCGAAGAAGATTTGGAGGCGACAGTCGAGGTCTTTCTTGATCATGTCTTCCCAAAACAGCTTGAGTTGTTCTTTATCAATTCCATTTTCTGTGTTTATTTGTCTTCTCCTACCTAATGCTTCGTATACTTCTGATGCAAACTCCAACGTATCTCCCATTCCTTATACACGTACGTACATACATAATTATAAATTTATAAAACTATAACGAAAAAAAAAAGAATATGTTTACGTGAAAAAAAGTAATGTTTACCGATGCAAACGCCAAATTTTTCCTTGGGAAGCTTTCCATTAACGGCGAACTGATTAAACCGGTTCTCAATGGATCTCCACGAGTCTCGTTCCCGTCCGGTGACGGTCCGATCAAGGAACCGGAGACTTTGTAGTCCCCTAGCCGCGCTAGATGTAGTCCTCTCGACTCTTTGTGGCCCCGTTTTTTTTGTCATGGCCACAGGGAGGCCCAAATTTCCGCTCTTCCTTGTGCTCGGATCCCCCAAGTTTCCGCTCTTTCTCCATTTCGACACGCTCATCGACCTTATTACTGATGCCACGCCGAGATTCCTCGATACATTCTTCAAGATCCCAATACCACCACCACCACTACTCTCGGCCTTATTTTCGGGTTGTTTCACCGAACCCTCTTTATCTATCTCGACGCTATGTAACATCCAGTTCGTGGTTTCTTCGTTCCCGGCGTTCTTGTTGTTCTTCATAATGTCTTATAACTTTGTATCCTTTATTTGTTTCGCCGTAACGTGCACATGAGGAGGTTCACGATCTATTTTTGTTTGTTGTTCTGCCGGTTATCGACATGATCAATCGTTAAAGATCTTTGCTTTTTGTTGATAAAAGATCCTGATTTTCTTTCTAAGTTCCTGTAAGTTCTTGCTCTCCTTTAATTTTTTAGACTAAGAATAGCCTCCTCATTGTGTGTCGTTTGTAACATTGTGGATAGTCTATTTACTTGGGAAGAGAGACACATGAAGAGTTGCCAAAAATAGAAAGTGCTAAGAAAGATCAAACGAAAGAAAAAAGTAGATACATTACGTTGAAGGATCGGTCCAAATTTAAAGTTTTCAAAACAAATGAATGAATGGCGCCTGCTATTAACGATAGTCCTGGTTATACATATTATATAGGTAAGCAAGTTTTATCTTAAAATGAGATGGAATCGAATGGATTGATTAAAAAAAGAGAAATTCCTTCAGATACCACAAAAAAACTGATATACATTAATAAAAGTGTTACTTACTTTGATTGTCGTTAAGCAAATCTTTCTTTTACTAGATAAAAATATTGTATTCGTAGAAGAAAATTTTCATATTTCACAATTTATTTGATTGGAAGTTCTAAAACTATAATGATACATTTTTCCCATTTTGTTCGGGTATGTTGAACACACACCAATTTCCAACGTGCGACGAGGATTGTTAGAAAGACGTAATAAAAGTAATATGTGAACAAAATTGGAACATGCACTAAATTGGAATATCTTCCCAGTTAGTGTTCAAAAGATCAAACACATGCACTAGATGAGACCTATATTATACTTATTAATGGAATGCTACAGTGTTTATTTGGTTCCCACCCTTAATCTCTACATGACAATGTTTTTTGCTGACAATCCATTTGACGAGGCCTTCTTCTCTACGTAAGAGACAACTGCTGAGAAAAAGTACCCAAAACTAAGAGTACATACATTGTAAAGCCGAAAAAAAAATATTGATGTGGCATGATTTTTTCTCATAATCGAGAAAAGGTTTTGGAATCGGTTTTGGGATAAATTCGCCACGTGTCGCTAAACGATTCCTTGATTTTTTTTTTTAAATCATAATTGTTTTTCAAAATTATTTTCTTTTATTTTTAAAGAACTCCAACTAGGCTGTGCATTGTATGTGCTCTCAAAATTTCTGTAGAAGAGAATCGTGAAACGATAGACATATCACCAAATGGTTTTGTGTTTTACGAGGAATAGGATCGTGTAGTATCCTAAAGTTCTAAAGTTGGTTGTTTGATTGTTTCTGTTTTATAATGAAAAAAAAGTTGACCAAAAAAATAATATTTATTACATAGTTTATTAATTTTAGTTGATAAAAGAAAAAAAATATGGAAATAGAATAAAGTATGCTAAAACGGCGTCGGATTGGTCAGTGACACACAAGTAAAGTGAAATCACTCTTAAGCTGGATCGTCTTTCTTCCGGGATCGACTCGCTCCGAGTCGACTCGTACAGACTCGGTCCGTCTCTTCCACCCTCTTTCCAAACAAATTTTTTTTTAGGGAATTCACCGTCTTCTTCGTCCTACTATGCCCTAAGTCTCTGTGGCTTTACCCTTTTTGGTCTTTTCACATAACCCCCAGTGATCTGACGGCTCTGCTTCCGTCCACGTCAGCTTCGTCTTCTTCAACCCTCTAATTCTCTCTCTCTCTCTCTCGGTCACCGTCTTCTTCTCCCCCCTTTAGTTTATCGCGTTATTTATACGGTTTCTTCTCTAGGGTTTCCTCCAGATTCATCTACCATTCTCTTCTCCCTTTTTCATTTTTTTTCTTCCTCGAGTACCTGTAAAAGTTTTGCTGCCGCAAGTGGCATCGGAGCTCCAATTTTGTTCAATTCTGGAGACAATTGAGGTAATTTGATCACAATTCCATCGAAATCTTCTACTTTAATTGAATTGGTACTGTAGAGTTTACAATCCTGTTCTTAATTTCCTTCTTCGATTTTCTCTGAGTTTATTTTGATGGCGTTAATGCTTCGTTTGTGTTAGGGTTACTCTATCGTTGAGTGCGATTTGGGGGATTTTTCGCGGGATGGCGATCGAGAAGAGTAACGTCAAGGTTTCGAGGTTTGATTCAGAGTACTCACATGGCAGTGGTGACTCTATGTCAAGTTACGACGGAGACGAGAGGCTTCAACTGCAACGTAAAACCTCAGCGGCTAACGTTGATTCCGAGGACGAGGAGGATGATGATTTCGATGAAGATGATTCTGGAGCAGGCTCTGATGATTTTGATCTGCTTGAGCTGGCGGAAACTGGCGCCGAGTTCTGTCAAGTAGGGAACGTGACTTGTAGCATTCCGTTTGAGCTGTATGATCTCTCTAACCTTGAAGATATACTCTCTGTTGATGTTTGGAACGAGTCTCTCACTGAGGAAGAACGGCTTAGCCTCTCTAGCTATCTGCCTGACGTTGATCAGATGACGTTTATGGTTACTCTGAAAGAGCTTTTCCAGGGTCGTAGTCTCCACTTTGGCAGTCCTGTTAAGAAACTGTTTGATATGCTGAAAGGTGGTCAGTGCGAGCCGAGGAACGCGCTTTACCTCGAGGGACGTAGTATGTTTCTGAGAACGAAGCATTATCATGCTCTGAGGAAGTATCACAATGACATGGTTGTGAATCTTTGCCAGACGAGGGATGCTTGGGCAAGTTGTAAAGGGTATAGCATCGATGAGAAGCTCCGTGTGTTGAATATCGTGAAAAGCCAGAAGACTCTGATGCGAGAGAAGAAGGAAGATTTTGAGGAGGATTCGTCAGAGAAGGAAGAGGCTTTTGATGGGCCTTGGAGCAGAAAGGTGAAAGACAGGACGCCTGTGGAAAACAAAATGGCTCGTCGTTCTGGTTACGGTGTTGATTCAGGTTTGGAATTTCCTAGCCGGCGGCAGCTGACTGGTCTAGAGCAGGATAGATATGGCAAACCAAAGTCGAAGCAGATGACTGCAGCACTGAAATTCCCCTTTGGTAAAACGTCTGTTGGGCCATATGCTTCAAGTTATAATGGGTTGGGTATGAACTCTGCATATAACAGCTCTTCTCACGTTAGGCAGAAGTATGGTTCAGGATTGGTTCTTGGGTCAGAAGATGATGATGAAGACGATCAGGATCCACTCTTTGGAACGGGTTCTCGACGAGATCGGGATAGTGTTGCTAGAGAGAAGTCTGGATTCTCGAGGCATGGAAAGAAACACAAGTTTTCAAGAGAGGGAGAACCAGTTTCTGAACATTTCATGGCTCCACCATATTCATCAAGGCAGTCCCACGGCAATTTTTCAAAATCAAGTAAATATGCAAACCATATTCAGCCTCGTGCATATGCGGACCAGGTGAAGCCTGTAAAAGGTAGTCTTGCA